CTCCGCTCGCTAGAGCCGGATTCCCGTTCGCGCTGCTTGTACACACTGCACACCGCAATGCCATCGTAAATCCAGCCGCGGCTCGTTTCGTTTAACGAACCGCGTTACCGCAAACGAGGCCTGCACTCCTCTTCCACTTGTCTTTCGGCCAAGTCAGCGAGAGGAAAAGCGCAGATGGTCACTCGATATCGATATCGGTATCGGTATCCATGCAGTGTGTTTGGGAAGGGTGGAAGTGAGGTTAGGAATGAGAGATGCTTACGGATTGTCGTTTGATAAGCTTGTTTTGAGGTTATGTGAGGGGAATGTCGCAAAATGAGAGGCAGAGGATTATTTTACATGTCTGAAGCTAGCAGCGATCAGATAATTCGATTACCTATCAAATTCAAACGAATCCAGGGAATTTTGTTCGTTCGGGAAGGGTGAAAGTGAGGTTAAGAATGGTTGAGAACTGTCTTTGCGATTCCTGCGATGGAAGTGAGGTTATGTAACGGGAGAATGAGCCGAACCGATTAATTTCGCGAAACAAAGGAGAAATTTATATCAAATACGAGAAGTTAAGTCAATTAACCGCTGGAATAACTAACTGGTCTGTGAATAGCTCAATTGTTGAACCGATAACTCCGCTAATCTGAAACCTAACCTAACTCTGTCGCTGCGACATATAACTTTCGACTCTATTCTTTTTGAATTTCCTCCTCCACCTGGAAAAAAGGATACTCGATAACCGAAGAAACTAGTTACCCTTACCAAATGGCCGATATCTCGACGAACAAACGGTCCCAAGCTGCACGATCTTGCCACTACGTAGAAACGCGCGAGGATAAGAAGCAACCCGGGGGAAAGGGGATGCTTGTTATTACCGTGAAGAAGAAACAAGACCCTGTGGACTGGAGCGCGTGTCCCCACCATGGCTGGAAACGGGACCAGGAATAATTCCAGCGATAATTCGTGGCGCAGGTGCGGTCCTCGAACCACGGTGTATCTTCGGCTGAGGGGCAGCGGCGAACGAGCGCATCGTGTGGCAGAGAGGAAGAGGGAAAAAGAGAGGCTGTCGGCAGAGAGGCGGGGTGGAGAGAGAAGGTATTACGGTGTGGGCCTGAGAAAGGAAGCAGCATCCGAGCAGCGCGAACAGCAATAAAGGGCTCGTTTCACCAGTGCGTTGGGGGCATTATGTTGTGTGCGGCGCGATACACGACCGGCGCACACAGAATCGCGGGCACAATGTGAGCGGTGTGTTTCGGCGATAAAGGGTCGCAGTATGTCCAAACACACAAACGGCCGGACAAAACGCGCGTGTACCATATTAATGGTACAGGCCTTTCTCTCTTTCTTCGGCCACTCGTCCTGTCTCCGTTCAGCCGCGGATGCGCCGGGCAGGTACATCTGTGGGATAACGGTAGGAATTCCGTTCACGGGCGAGCTTGAAACAAAGGAAGCCAAGCTCGATTCCCTTCGTAATTAGCCGCTTCGACGGGGATCAGAGGCTTTTTCTGAAGTCGCGCAGCTGTGGCTCGTGGGACTAGGAAGCTCCGCGGAGAACCGGAAGAAATTTAATTAAAAAGCTGCCGGGGGACCTAACAACCAGTGTTCGCCGGCGAAAGTCAAAATCCGACCGCTAATACTGGCTAACTAACGCTTACTCCGACTTTCCAAAGCAGTAATCCGAGATTTTTAGCAAGAGACGCAAGAACGGGAACTTGGTAGCGAGTCGACAACCTTTTCATCCGACTTTCCACTGCATCTAGACATCTGTAAATACGCAAATAACATACTCCTAAATCTCTGTAACGCCCATAAGACTCGATCATTTTTCGCACAGGTGTACATTCCACGAAGAAACTCCATTTCTCGATACTCGATACCCATAAAGAGCTAACAATAGGGCTAACAAGAGGACTATCAGAGGTCTGCGAATTAGACCTTTAGACTCCGAATTTTCCCAATTACCATTAACACATCGACTAACCTGTGATTAATTACTCTAACGATACAGAGGACGTTGGAATTCGCGGAGACGACGATATTCATGGAATCTACGTGTAACGGTGAACGAAACAGAAGTCGAGTCACGCTCGACAAAGGGGTTCAGAGGCTTAATACGTTACAATGGTGTCTTTCCGACGTGCATAAACGAAGGAAGAGAGGAGAAACTGCGTGGGTACTGTTAGAGCAGAAGGATATTAATCAGAATAACGTAGCAGGCAATAACAGCATAATATGGAAACGATTTCTGTGCGATTGAGCAGGTAGCGCAGATCCGTCGAGGTCTTCCTCTGCTTCACTCTCGAGACCGAGGCATCGAGCGGAGTAAGAAGAGCGAGACCGCTTAATTTCTTTCCCGAGGTCCTGTGTGTCTGCCTGGCAATTAGAATGAACCGGAGACCGGAAGCTATACGTGGCCGTGCAGCGCTCTCATGCGTGGCCTCTCGTGTGTGCGCACGTACGCGGGCACACCCGCGTGTGCGTGCGTGTTACGGAGCCACCATTCGCGTTACCTACACGCTCCCACATCCAGAGAGGATCACGCCAGAACGGTAATTGAATTTCGTTATTTCGGGGCTCACGTTCGACCGCTTAATTCGCCTTTATCTCGCCGATCTGGCTGAGCTTTCCCCGGATGCGGAAGCAATAAACAGCTCCGTCCCCCGGCTATTTGCATGCGCGTTTTCCCGTAGCCCGCTTTAACGAGAGAATGCCGTGTCCCGAACCTCTGCGACGATTATCGCGCTCCATCGTGTCCGCGACGATGATCGGCGGAAATTAAGGGAAATTGGGGTATCACCCGGTCGAGGAACCGTTCCGGTAATTGCTAACAGGCGAGTCGCACTTGGGGTACTTCGTCAAGCTCGACAGTTATACTATGTATGGTTTATACAACTATCGAGGTATCCCTAAGCTTCCTTTGCATTCCAAGATTCCTCTTCTAAGAGGAATCGTGAACGCACAAGTCGCGGTATTTTGGTATCAATTTTGGAGCTTCTGCTAACCGGTGGACGGAAGATCCTCGAGTGCATGGTTACAAATTTCTTGGAAATGTACTAGGAGATGGAAAAGTACCAAACGCACGTGGGAATAAATTGAAAATTTGGGAAGACTCGATTTCCCAGGATGTAATTTGGCAAGGTATCAAAAAGTGCAGAGAATAGAAGTGATAGTGATAAAAGTTTGGATACACACTCGTCTTCGAGAGTTAATTCGTGAGATTGGGATTTAATTTGGCCAAGCGTCAGAGAGGTTATGGGGAATTCGCGTGGTGGTTAGGTGAAATATCGGCTGGCATAGAGTTCGATAGACGAGAGGCCCGGGTATACACATAGGATGCATCCCTATCCTCGTGCACAGAGGGTTTCGGGTTACCGTGGCGCGCTGCTGGAAGCTAGGTGCTACGGTTACACAGGAAGGAAACACTAGCGCCTCCGGCCGCTTCTCTTCCCCTCGTTTTGCCTGTTCTCCGTACGCTGTGACACAACGAAGAGCGCCGACCACTTTGTGCACGTGGACGCGTCGCGGTAATGAGCAAGGAAACATGACTGAAAACGGGTCGAGAACGGGCAGCCGTGGAGGGGAAAGTCCGTGGAGCAGCTGGGACTATCGGCAGAATGTTGGCAACCGTGGTTGCGATTTGCGCCGAGTGGATGAGACGTGAGAAATAAAGACGAAATTGGACCAACGAATCCTTCGTGTCCCGGAGGAATTATCGAAATGTCAACCTGAACCAAATATCTGTACCACGAGCTATGAATAGAGTTGCCTGTCTCGATGGTCTACTTTGTTCTTAAGGGTGGTTCTCATGAATTCCAAGATGGAAGAATAATTGCGTAATTTATTTTTGGTTGTGAATTATCTATCCCTCGTGTCCCTGAGGAATTATCGAATTGTCAACCTGAACCAAATATCTGTACCACGAACTATGAATAGAGTTGCCTGTCTCGATGGTCTACTTTGTTCTTAAGGGTGGTTCTCATGAATTCCAAGATGGAAGAATAATTGCGTAATTTATTTTTGGTTGTGAATTATCTATCCCTCGTGTCCCTGAGGAATTATCGAATTGTCAACCTGAACCAAATATCTGTACCACGAACTATGAATAGAGTTGCCTGTCTCGATGGTCTACTTCGTTCTTAAGGGTGGTTCTCATGAATTCCAAGATGGAAGAATAATTGCGTGATTTACTTCGGTTGTATATTATCTTAATTTTTAACGACTCGTATATAATGGCGAGTATCATGACGAGCTCCCAATGAAGGAAACTGTTCCCTCTGCCATACTGTTTCCGATCTGTCAAGCCTGCGAGACGTTCGACCAAAAGCCTGAGAAAAAAGGAAGAGAACCGGTTAACCAAGAGCTGGAACCGCAGCATCCAGAAAAAAGCAACAATATTTGTCCGCGGAAACGGGGGCGGCACAGGAAGAGACCTGTCCCGTCCGGAGGTTTAGTCTATCGAAACCGTAGCAGAGGGGGAGAGAGAGAGAGGGGGAGAGAGAGAGAGAGAGAGAGAGAGAGAGAGAGAGAGAGAGAGAGAGAGAGAGAGAGACGTTTCAAAGGCTATGGCAAAAGAGGAAGAAGTACAAGGAGGTTACGTCTCTGGTGAGTGTCGTGCACAGAGACCGGAAGTGGCTTCTCGGCTGGTTCGGACCCGATGCATGGGCATCGAGGGCCACGACCCAGCTGGACTGCACATGCCCAACCTTCTAAAACCTTCCCCGTATTTAGAGCCATAGAGAGCAAGAGAGGACTAATTTTAAAATATCATCCTCCTTCCTTCTTTCCTCTTCTTTCATCTCCACCCTTTTTCTTCCTCTTCCCATCATCCTCCTGGTCTTTTTATTCGGAGCGCGTGCGAGCGCACTCGTGCCGCCGATACACGCCACACGCGGGGGCTATAACGCTACAGAGACCAGATACGCGTGTGCAGCCTTTAGGATGGCCCGATAAGCGCGTGCGCGCGAGAGAGAGGTCCGTAAGACAGACAGAGATGAGAGAAAAAGGTTACTTACCGGCTGAGTGTTGTGTCGTGTTGTCTGCGTCGTGATAAGCCTCCACTATCAGCGAGAATGTGCCCTGGGAACAGAGAGATGAGGTTGGTGAACTTGGATGAGACGCCGCAGCTTAATCCTATTACTAATCTTAACCTCCATCGACTCTTCCTCTCGTATATATACACTCGAATCGCTCACTCGAAGCTACCGAACATTCGATAACCTATATACGCGTTCGCTTTGATGCCTCGAGAGTCGATTCTATTTGCGAATATCCACGGGAGAAGAAACTGCGAAAATACACGGAAGGCTAGTGTCCCGGTTTCGGCGCGAAAAACCATGGCAGCTGCGCGTGCCATCGCGTCACGCAATTAACAATAAATTAAACGTTCCAGTGGCGGGCTCTGCCGGTCGCGTCACGCGCGCACCTGCCGCGCATTAGAGGGGCGCTGCATGTCTCGACGAAGCGTGCCTAAAAGCTGGCAGAACCCGGGGTCACGTGTTGCGGACAGATAGAGGCGCGACAGAGCGTGTTACGCGCGGGACCACGTATGCATAACCTCAACCCTTCGCCCGGTGAACGAGCCTACACACCGCGTCCCTCTTTACCCTACGGCTTTTCAAATTACCGTGGAGAAAGAAGCTTCGAGAGGGTGCTGCCGCGTCGGACAGGGAGGGTTAACTTTTTATAACGACCACCGGATATAAATCATGCGCCGAGCGTCTCCCCGCCGACGGCACGTGCTCGTCCGCTCCGTTCGACCAAGAACTGCCGGGGGATGGTTAATTGGACGCGAAAAATAAATAATCGATCGACGTCGCGAGAGACCGTTTTAATGGAATGCTGTTGTCGTCATCGTCGTCGTCGTCGCCGTCGTCGTTCCGGGGAAACCTGTTATATACCCCTGTTTGCATTATCCATTATGGATACACACACGCGCATGCGCGCCCGTGTCTGCGCGTATGCAGAACGCGCCGCAACACGCGACCGCGTATTGTGTAACAGAAATTACGCTTGTCTCTGCCGACACGCAACCGGCGATCTATTAATTCCCGCGATCGTTACGTTGATTCGAATTAACGGGAAGGTACTCGTAATTGATTATTCGGTTGATCGGAGATTTCGATAAGATACCGCGCGCACGGGAAATTCCTGCATTACCAACCGGACCTTGTCTTCCCTTACGGCGAGCCCGCAAATATACGATCATAGGTTAGTTTTCGCGAAAGTCAAAGTTAATTATCAAATATCGATAATCGCTATGTAAACATCCTTAACTCGATTCTGGACGATCGTCAATTTCCATTATAAATTATAACGACGATCATTGGCACAGGGGAGCGATGTGACACGCTTCAGGGTTTCGCCTGGGGGTTTCGGGATATCAACCCCGTATCAACATTACCCCTTGGCGTAATTTATCACATACGCAGAGGGAAGAGGTAAACGAAGGTAAGATCGAGCAATTTCGCGCGTCTACGTGGAAATCCATGCGCGAAAGGAACAGTGTGGGCGTCGAATCGCTCGCACGACCATAAATCCAGCAACGATACTCCCTATGGACGAGCGTGCGGCCCACGCCGCCGCGACGCACGCATCGTGTGCACGCCGGTGGACGAGCGACACATTATTGTGTAATAAGTACGTGCCGTACACGCGGTGCCCGGTACGTGTGCATGCAGTGATAATGCGACGTTTAATTATTAACGTCACACGCACGCGTATGTACACACGCGCACACGCTCGGTATCGCCGCCTGTACCTGACACACGAAGAGTCAGTCCAGGAGACAGAGAAAAGAGAGAGAGAGCCCGCCAGAGAGAAAAAGAGAGAGAGAGAGAGAGAGAGAGAGGTGAGGAGCGGCTGGTATTACACACGACCTCGTTAGTCGTTGCCGCACCGTGAATAATAAATGTTTATATCCGGCCTCTCTGTCATCATCGTTGCCGTTCCTGTTCGCGTAAACGAGCCGGCAACGCGGACGTGCCGCGAGCACTGGGAACAATTTCATTATTCAGAGATCCCCGATGACCTGGCGCGAGTGAGCAAGCAACCGGGCGAGCGAGCGCCCGCTCACGTGAGAAATCCGTTTCGCGTGTCCCTCTCTCTGTCTGGCCCACCCTTTTTCCCCTCGGGTTAAACGGCCCGATTTAACCTGGTTTTTCCGTGATTCGCCATGCCACCTGACTAACGACTCGTTTCTACCGGTCTACACCCTGTTGATCGTAATTGCAAACGCGATAGCCCTCTGTCGAGGGACCGCCATTGCTAATGGATCGCGCCCCGCTGCCGCGATAGATGCAGATTGGATAATTAAATATGAATTCGCCGTAACTGAGTTCCGCCATTTTCCTTTCAAACCTTCGATGCAGCGCCGCGAGAATTCCGGCGTGAATTACGGGGTAAGGATAGAGGGAGGACCGACGGGTATGCTAACTTCGGAAATTTTCCGCAAGAGGGCCCGATACTTGGAATTTCTACGTGTTCCCGCGTCACTTTGTATTCGGACGTCCGAGGAGAGTCGTAGGCAAAGTTATCCGGGATATTCGCTAGAGGGCGAAAAAAGTCGCGGCGATCCCTGTGCTCGATATATACGGTGGAATCGCAGCGCAATTTGTCACCGGGAAAAGAACGAAAAGGCAGAGAGGGCCGCAGGTATGTCACCGTGCGCGTACACGCTAGAAAGTTCCAGCGTGAATTCCGCGGTACCTTGGGTCCTCGCTTGAACCTTCGAGAGGGCCATTCGTCCACGGTGAGACGGAGATAGAACGATTAAAAGGGGCGGGAAAAAAAAGGACGGGGATAAAACAGGGGGGAAAAAGTGGGGGAACAGGGGGTGGGATGCGGGAGAGAGGAGAAGGAAAGCTGGAAGAGCCGGCCAGACTCTGCCCTTTTCTCTCGCGGCAAGGACGAAAGCGAGGCGCACGGAGGCCAGAAAGAAGGGAACACGATGGAACGAACCGCGGAGGCGGAGAACGGAAGGGGACCACGGCCGGAGGGGAGAAGGAAATAAATTGTCGAGGAGACAAATGCCACCGTGATCGGCCGCTAATTTATTACGGGGATCGGAATTAAGCCGACAAAAAGCTGAAAAAGCCCCGCGTAGGCATCCTAAGAACAATGTGTTGGGTGTGTTCGGTGGCCGGTTAGCAGTTCTGCCACGACGAAACGAGAGGAGAACGATATAAAGATGAGCAGAGGAGGGACGACGGCGGAGCGATAGAGAGGAAGATAGACCGACGGGCTGAATGAAAAGGAAAGAGAAGGAAGACGAATAGAAAGAGAGAGGATCGGTGTACTTCGCATATATCTCGCATCGTACATCTACATGCACGTATATGCACGTATATGTACCCTGTCCGAAGGAGAAACGAGGAAGGGAAAGGAAGGAAAAAAGATGAACGGAAAAAAAGCGCACCGTAAGGTAACGTCGAGAGTGAGAAAAGGAAAAGGGAGGAAAAGAGGTACTGCAAAAGAGACACGCCGTGGCGTATATATACACGCAAGAGGAACCTGAATGATGAAAAGGAAGAGAAACAGCCTCTGCCCGTTCCGTGTTCGACAGACAGAGAAATGAGGATAGAATGGACGAGGCGATCGAGAAGGAGCGAGATCGCAAAGAAACCGGCTAAAGAGGGAGAAAGAAAGAGAGAGGCTCGCTCACTCGCGGCAGTCGGTTCCCACGGCTGCGCAGCATACCTCCACCTTCTCTCGCCTCTCTCTCCGCACCACGCGGCCCTCCAGCTCGCTCATCGCTCTTTCTCGGCCTCGTGCTCCTCTTTCGTCTCCTTCTTTCTCGCTCCGACCGCTTACCGTCGCGTCCACTCCTTTCTTTCTATTCCGCCATCCGTCTTTCTCCGTTCGATTCGCTCGAAAAAACCGTCTTTCCTCGTTTCGCTCTATCGAGACTACATCTAGCCACTTCTTTTACTCCTTGTGCCCGGGCCCTGCTTCTTTCTCTATTTCTCCGTTCCGATGGAGAACATAACCTCGTCTAGCGCGCCTCTCGTTCGGTCATCCGTCCTTCTTTCGTAGTCGCGCGCAGTTTCGCCACGTAGTGTGCGCATGCGCTGCAATCTAGTCGCGCCGTATGTATATGCACGTATTAATCATCGCGGAAAACGGTCGCGGCGAATGAGAAAGAAGAAGAAACAGGTAGCCGACGTGTATACGGTTGCACATAGATGCGACCGGCGATTCGGTATCGAGGCTGAGGCTGTACCAGCAGCATGATTCATCGTGGAAAAAGGAGCCGGAAGTTGTCTACGACTTTTCGCCGTCTCCTGGGAAAATGCACGGCTGCCCCTGGGAGTATATGCGCGAGATCTTTGCAACCGGTCGAGCCAAGTCGACGCGACTTTATTTTTTCCCCCCGATAATCGCCGAGGGTCTTTAGACTCGATAATAACATGCAAAATACCGGAAAAGCGAGGTGAATTTTTTACGGTACAAATTCTCAGGCTAATTTCACCCAATAACCGACATATTTTTCGATCGCGGATTGATTCGCGTGGAGAAAAAAAGGCGCCATTTTCGAATGACGTGTCCGCACGAGCTCTACTATTAAAAGGTTAATTGGTCCGAGCATCGATTAGGTAAGAGAGGTTATAAAAAGGGACGAGTGCTGAAAAAAAAAAAAAAAAAATAACTACATCCAACGGACCATCGCGGAAAGCCGGTCGTCCTAGCGGTTCTATTTTTAACCATTCACGCTTTAATGTCTCGCGCGCGTAGACGAGCGTGTGGTCTCGCGCTCGAGAAGCGTGGCATTTCCGCATGGAGAAATTTTCGTGGCCTCCATTCTTCGTCGAAAGGAGGAAGAGGAAACCGAGGATAACGAGCGACGACACACCGTGTCGACTCTTCGCCTTTAGGCTACCTCCCCGGCTCACGACCTATGAAAAGTACATTGACACACCCAGTGGGACGTGCCGCGAACTTTTTTCAAACGCGCCAAGCAGCGTGACCGCCGGCCGAGCGACAAATGCGCGAAACAATTTCCGCGAGCCCTTTTTTATCGACGAATGGAAACGCATCGCCATCGTTCCTCCGTCACGAACTATGTCGAGGTGGCTAGACGA